AGATTTTTGTGTTTTTAATTGGTTTATAAGAGATCAGATCTGTTTGACATTTCCAAATGTGCAGTTTCAATTTTTTTTGTTGTGTGTTAGATTTGATCTGTTTTTGCTGGCTGAGGTATAAATAGCGTGACTGCATGAATCATTTTGGTTGAGCATTGCAAAGATTTTTATGTTTTTAGGGTTTCGTTGTTGTTATTGTGCTCTATCTGTTGTAGACTGTCATTTGTTGGCCCACACTTCCTTGTAACGCATTATCGAGTGTTATGTATTAAGAGAATATGGAAGCAATGAAAATTTATGGTTTTATCTTTGCCCGTGGTTGATGTTTTTTTAAACCACATGTTGTCACAGCCATCAAATATGAGATAAATGGGTTAGCAATGTTATGTTAAAATATTGAGGATATCGATTAATGTTTATATGATTGATTTTTTAGATTGACCCTGCCAAGTACAAGAGCATCTCATCTGGTTTTGGAGTTCTACTCAAGGAGCAAGGAGTGAGAGGCTTCTTCAGGGGTTGGGTGCCGGCCCTTCTTGGTTACGGTGCTCAGGGGGCCTGCAAATTTGGATTCTACGAGTTCTTTAAGAAGTACTACTCTGATCTTGCTGGGCCTGAGTATGCAGCCAAGTACAAGACCTTGATTTACCTTGCTGGTTCTGCGTCTGCTGAGGTGATTGCAGATGTTGCTCTTTGCCCCTTTGAGGCTGTGAAGGTTCGAGTTCAAACTCAACCTGGGTTTGCTAGAGGCTTGTCTGATGGACTGCCTAAGTTTGTGAAAGCTGAAGGTGCTCTTGGGTATGCTTTTATGTCCATGATTTGTTTGATGATTTATGTTAAGCTTTATATGTTACTAACTTTGTTGTTTATTTTAGGTTGTACAAAGGCATCGTTCCTCTCTGGGGTCGCCAGATACCATGTAAGTTTGACATCTTTACTTTTTAATAGTTATTTAATGCTCAGTAGGGCTAAGAAATTCATATATTATTTTGAATGATTTCTTCTGTTCAGTACATTTGATATTTTCAATTTTGTATTCTATTTTTTTTTAACACTTGCTACACAAGCATGCCATTTTATTAGTGTTGGAGCTTTACAGCTTTTTAAGACACTGTATTTTTTAGCCTTTAAAGGACGTATTTGGGTCATGGTTATATAATGATCCATCTTCTTTCTTGTTTGAAATGAGCATTTCGTGTTAGGTTATCATGTGCATGTAGAAGCATGATACGTGCTTGTCAACATTTTGTTTGGAACTGTTTTAAAAGAGAGTAGAAAAATGGCTTTGTTTGTGTGTAAAAGTCGGGAATTTCGAGCTGATATTGTGAGGCATGCTGAAGTCTTTATCCAAGTTGACGAACTCAACAATTGCTGTAGCCTTAAACCAAAATGCTGGTCAAAAGAACTTGTATAATTATTTGACAGTGTGCATTGCATTTTTCATCTTTTGCTCAAGTGTGTAGCTCACAAGAACTATGGTTTTATTCATTGAGGTTTCTCTGTTTTTTCATGCTGCAATTTAAGTTTGTGGTTCATGGTTTTTCTTGCAAAAAATGCCTGGTCTGAGCTTCTGGTGGATGGCAACAGTTACACGGAGCTTTTGCTGTATTGAATGTTAATTTTGGCGTGTCATTGAGTTGCTGTATATACCATAGTTTGAGTTATTATTGGTCATATCAGTGGTACCTGTTGCTGACAATGCTACATGTTATTTTATTGTTTTCTTGCAGATACAATGATGAAGTTTGCATCTTTTGAGACTATTGTAGAGATGATCTACAAGTATTCCATCCCCGTGCCAAAGGACCAGTGCAGCAAGTCTCTGCAGCTTGGTGTTAGCTTTGCTGGTGGTTATGTTGCTGGTGTGTTTTGTGCTGTTGTGTCACATCCTGCAGATAATCTTGTCTCTTTCCTGAACAATGCTAAAGGGGCAACTGTTGGTGACGTGAGTTCATTCTCACAGTGAATTCCCTGAAAAACATTATTTTCCGCCCCTTGTTAACATTTTTGAAACTTTATTTATGTTTGTTTTTGCAGGCTGTGAAGAAGCTAGGTGTGTGGGGTCTGTTTACTCGCGGGCTGCCTCTCCGTATTGTCATGATTGGAACACTTACTGGAGCTCAGTGGGGTATCTATGATGCATTCAAAGTTTTTGTGGGATTGTAAGTATTTCCTATGAGTGGTAAAAGCTTCATTGTGACTTGATCTGGTGTTGCATTGCTAAAAAGGATTTGATGTGAATTTTCAGGCCTACTACTGGAGGTTCTGCCCCTGCCGCTGTCCCTGCAAAGGTATAAAGTTTCAATCCATTGACGGATTGGTTTGTATTGTTCTAATGGAACCTGGGAGATCATATAGGGATAATAAATATAGGATCGGAGCTGCTTGAGTAATCCCAAGCCAACGGAGATTATTCTTTTTACATTCAAAGACTCATTGTCGATTTTTGTCATCTTGACTAATTATGGTTTTCCGGGGGATAGTTTTGTTCCCATCCTTCTCAGATCATGAAAACTTTTGCTAGTTAGATCATTTTATGGAATTCCAGTTTGATATAAGGATCTCATCATCCCCTCGCCAGGACAACCAAAATAATGGACAGATGGGGAGACGATGTGTTTTGTCCTGTCCGAATTTCTTTTGAGTGCTTATGTGGGAACTTGCATGTTATTGGCCATGTGAATGCATGGGATTCGGAGTCCCCTTTTTACGGCAATCTTCGTTGTTATTAAATATATGTTTTGTTTTTTGGCTTTCCTTCTTCCTTTTTAACTTATCTTAATTAAATAAACTCAAATGCATGGTATTTAGTTTTTGAATTCGTGAAATGCGAGTAGAGAAGAGAGTTCTATCATATTGAGGCACCAATATGATAAAAAAAAACATTAAAGAATATGTGAAGAATACCTTTTATTTGTTTTGGTCTTTAGCCTGAAGTTTTATCTACTTGAGTTATATATTATAATTCTATTTCAATGCATGCTGCCACCATATATCTTTGTGACATGTGGTAAAAAAGAGAGAGATACTGTACTAACCTGTAATTTTCTTTTAGTAATGCTACACGGTATTTGAATGTGATACATCATAAGGATTTATAATAATCTATTATTTACTATTAACTGGCATTATAAATAGTAGTTCTCTTGGAAACTAATCAAGATATTACAAGAGGAGATGAAAGGGAGGAAAATACACAAAACAATATCTTAATTTTCCCTGGTATAATCTGACGACTTCATATCTGCATCGAGCATTTGTTAGGTTTTTTTTCTTATATTATTAAAAATAGCAACTTTATGTTAAGAAATCGCATTGAAATAATGATCTCGAAGGTAGTAAACCCACTTAATTGTTAATTTTGCAACAAGCTTTCAATCTCTTTCAAATACAAATTGGCAGTAAATATACAGTTTATTACTGCTGGCTACCTTCTCTGTATCCTTTTCTTTTTTCACCTTCTTTCTGTTAGTACTAAATAAAATGACAAAGTGGAGTATTACTATTCAAAATAAATCCTTGTATTGGGCAGAAACCTTTGTAATCTGTCATGTTATTACTATTCAATATATTTATATGTAATGGTAATTTCATCAAACCAGGATGATATATATGTTGGCTTACATTTCCTATCCATCAATTATTGAACAAGTCCTTGAAAATTTTGTAAAAAGCATAGTAATATGTATTAATTAAGTCGTATGCTAAGAAAAATAGTCATATACAAGGTCAACCTTTATTTTTTTTCATGAGAGACCAATAAGTTGTTATTAATAAAATCAATATATTACCACTCAATTCGTAAGAATTTATAATATGATGTGTAAATGATTTTCAAACATTTTTCATGTAAGAAAATTATTTAAAAAAAAAAGCCAAATTCGTCTTTGTCAAACATTTTTCATGTAAGAAAATTATTTTTTTAAAAAAAACAGCCAAATTCGTCTTTATCATTGTTATAATTATTATTATTAGAAATGATTCACAAAATTTTTGTTATGGGGATTGGATTCCAAAAATAACATTGCCATAGTGAAATTGAATTGAAGAAAAAATATTACGGGGATGAGTAAATGATCGAAGGAATAGAAGCAATCGAGCTCAAACTTGCACTTCAAATACTTCATTTCTCTAATTAGGAGAGCTGAAAAGTTTCTATAGTGAATATAGAGAACTTTGTGTGTTATCGTCAAACTCTCAATGGAATTCAAGAGTTAATATGAAATTAATTTTTATTGTGAAACTAAATTAAACTTTATAATAACTGAATATCTTACCTAAACACTGAAAAGTAAAAAAAAAAACAATAAATTTTGTTAAAACTATTGGGCACCGAAGAAAAATCAAAATAAATTTTACTGAAGCTTGAAATAACCTCAATAAAAAAACCTAATCATCTTTTTTCTCAATTGAAAACTCTTATCATTTAACATTTTCTCCCTTATTAACTTTGACTGTCTAAAACAGAGAGCATGAATGTGGTAACAAGCTAAAATGCAGAGACCATGATGTGGATGCTCTTAAGCCTACGGGAGTCATGCTAAGCATCAACAAATTTCTTTCAACCAAACGGGATGCCTTTCAAGCAAGAGCTCACAAAGTATCAATAATCCTGTGCTCTGCCATGAAATCTGGGCAAATCAGCAACTAGACTAAAAGTTGCCCTTCAACCTCTTCAATCATTTACACTCAAAGAACAAGAAATTGCAGTGAATTCAACATTCCATGAAGCTAGAGGGATGGAAATGTCTGTTCTAGCCCTAGAAATCAGGTTTTTTTACAATCACTGTGTGTATCTGAATGAGATTTTTTTGAGCTAGAGGGATTGAACTGTTTCATGTATAAATACAAATGAATTATTTTATATTAAGTTGGTTTATTTTTTATTTTATATAAGCAAGCTATTGTTCTCTATTGATGATACCAACAGCAAGAATTATGACAAAAAATATTGAACTCTTTCCATAAAAAGAAAATAACATTTAATTTGGGGTATCTTATTAAAACATATAAATTCAAAAAAAAAAAAAACTAATACCATCCACTACTTATTGTAGTCGATTTTTATTTCTTTTGTAATGAATAGCTCACATAATAGAACATGCATTGGAAATTTCATCAGCAAAGTCTTGCGATGGGTGATAATCATAGGGCCCGTTACCATGAGCGTGGTCTTGGGCTGGGGGGTAACTATAGGGCCCGCTGCCATCAGCAAAACCTTGGGGTGGGGGATCATTATAGGACCCACTACAATAAGCAAGACCTAGGAGTTGGGGATCATTATAGGACCCATTAAAAGAAGCAGAGGGTGGGACGACATCAGTGCCAAAAGGAAAGTTTGGGTCATAGTCAAGCCCATAATCACACAGATATCTTGCAAGGTCGTGTTCTAAGTTCTGTTCACCCATGGGCTCAGTACTATTCCCCCCTCTATTGGATGGACCAGCTTCAGCATCATTATAGGGCCCAACACCTAGGGGTTGGGGATAATTATTGGGCCCATTAAAATAAGCATAGGGTTGGGGATCATTATAGGGCCCACTACCATCAGCAAGACCTTGGGGTTGGGGATCATTATAGGGCCCATTAAAATAAGCATAGGGTTGGGGATTATTATAGGGCCCATTAAAATTAGCTTCCTCTTGTGGCTTCTTTTCTTCTTCCTTCTTTTCCCCGTCACCTTGGAATATAACCTCAACCTTAACACCCTTTCTTATCTTAGCCAATCTTGCTTTCACGGCTTCAGTGTCCACAATGCCAGTGACAGTGACAAGGAACTTCTTTTTGTCTATTAATCTCCCTTTAATCCCTGCCAAGTTTATTGATCAGAACCCACACAAGAGAGCTGTTAAGAATCAGAAGAAGAGGCAATGTGCAAATTCACTTTAGGATGATGTACCTTTGATACCGGAGAGAGCCTCATTCACCTTACGCCAGCATCCTTCACAGTCGCAGAATCCACTCAACTTCAACGTCAACATCGTGGTAGACTTCCAAAAGAGAAGGGCAGGAGATTGGTATTCTACAAACATTTAGTGTCAGATCATAACCATGTAGATTACCATTAAATCTCTTGATGAAAAGAATAACTAAATCCCCACGTAAATCAGCTCATTAGCTCAATAAGAATGTACCTTGTTCTTGGACAAATTTATTTTCTCCAGGATCTCTATGCCTCTTTGACAGGGTTAGTCAATAACCAGAAATCTAGAGATATATATATGTTATAACATTCCGTGTTGAAAAGGAATTTAGGGCTTCCTGTTGAGAATAGGAAAGCTCTAAATAAGAAATAAATTGGAGAAGCTCAAGATAAGAAATATGCTATACCGTGAAAATAGGAAAAACTGTTCTTTAAACTAAGGTTGACTAGCCGGCTTTTTCAGCAGGCCAAAATAAGGCACAAATCTGTCAGGCTAAGCCAGGCTCAGACCATACTTAGCTAAATAAACCAATACATGAAACACATGTCATCTTCATCATGTCATCAAAATACATAGACAAGGAGCGTCTTCCAATTGCCACATACACAATGAACTCTAGTACCAACCTCAAAATATAGGTGTTAAAATACAGATTTGTAGTCATTACATTTCCCTTCAAGCATTGTACCCTCGTAATCCATTCACAGGAATCCGCATGCTCAGATTATAAATAAACCAAAGAATTGAGATATCAACGCTAATATACAGTGTCCTCATTCCCGTCCATTTATTGATATCAAAAGGAATCCTAGGACTTGGAGCTTGCCACACACAAGAAATTTGAACCTGTGAGGTCAAACAAGATTGATTGTGAAGGACGGGTAAGGATAAGTATCAGCATCGCCTCCCAAACCGAAGATCCCTCCCATTTCATCTTCAGATTTCCAGTGCGTGCTGCATGAGAACAATCAAAGTACCATGCCAGGAGAGAATTTTAGAAGACAACAATACAAATTCCATGATACAAGCAATAAAAAAGTCAAAGAGAACATAATTTATAAGTTTTGATTCACTGGATCATCAACAATTTTTTTTCCTTTTCTTTTAAAGAATTACAAAAGGCTTAACATCTGTTCAGATTTTAAAACAAGGTTGCTACAACATTCGAGAATTTCATCTACTTCTCAAAGACAAAAGAGCACAAAATCCAGAGCTCTCTAGAAGGAAGCACTACAACAGACAATTTCTGAACTATTTCTTACTACTGCTCAAAATATTATGAACGCACATAAGCCCTCCAAATTTTCATGACCATCCAGAGAAATATGATTTATTCCCACCGGAACCATAATGCTGTTTGCATAAAAAGCCTCTTGAAAAAGGAAAGAAAAGAAGAAAACAGAGAGATGGAAATAGCCTCGGTATCTTTTGTGCAAACAAGGTGATGCTGTCCAAGCTTGCAATCGATTAATTTGGTGTTGAGGTTGAACCACCATTTCACCATTTTTTGTGTTTTTTGATTGGTTTGATGTGCTAATATCAAAAAGAAATTTTTAAAAAATATATATTATTTTGATGTATTTCCAAGCAAAAAACACTTTGAAATGCAAGCCTTATCATACTCTCAAACTGGCACTAAAACATCAAGCAGTAGCTTTTGGCATTCTTCAAAATGGTTCATCCAGTTATGTAATTATATCTAAAGGGTATACAAACTTGCCTGTTTGAATTGTCACAAAATCCTTCAAGGATTGAACGTACTTTCTTCTCACTTTTCGTAGTAGGAGATAAAACACAAGCCTGAAATGGTCCCAAAAGCCAGTGCCTGGTGAAAAAAAACGATTCATAGGAAAAACAAGGAAAAACATAAGATGAATATTCACCAAAAATGATGGGGGCAATCCATATCTGAGAATGCTCTCTGCAAAGACACGAATAGCACAAAAATGCATCCAAGAGCTGAAAACCTGCAGGTCATAAACTTGTTTAGTTAACAAGGGAACTAGCAGCGCAGCCAAAGCCAAAGAAAAAAAGAGAAAAATGAAGGAACGGTTCAACATTTTTTTTAGCAAGAAACAGTATTCAATATAGATACAAACCACAAAAAATACAAGAGTACTTAAGGAAGCCTATGTCTGAAAAGTACTAACAAAGACTTCAGCATTTCTGAAAATCATTTAGACCCTCAGGCACATAGGCTCGTTCAGTTGGGTGGGAAGAAGGGTTTTGGAGTCAGTAGACTCCAACCATGTCAAAATAAAAGAAAATGCTCAGTGCAGGAAAACAAAATCATGGAATCAACTTCCAAAGCAATCAAGACATGAAATTGTCCGTCAATCAACAAGCAAATCACCAGACTAGCAGATACACATCTCAACTAGTTGAATGTTAGCACGTGATCATCTGCTTCCATCACAGAAGCCAGGCAGGAGCTTTAGAGACAGAACAATATCTTTTCCAGGGTAATTTTTATGCTTAGCTAAGTAACCCAATGGAATGTAATTTACATTGTGCAGATGAGTATCCTAGGAGTTGATGAGTATTTCATTCCAGTTTGAAATACATGAAAGGCTAAGTTGAGCACTCAGTTCTCTCTCTTTTTCTAGGCCCTCTTATTCTTTCTCCTTTCCTCCACCACCTACTTCATTTCTTCCTCACTAAAATTCTACATGGCAGTATCTCATGTACATTTACAAACAGCCACCAAACTTCTCAGCTTTTGGCTTTATTTGCAACATCAGACTTGTCAATCCCTGTAACCTCAAAAACCTAATTAATTCCAGGTCAATTAATTCCACAACGACCTACTTCCAAACTACAGTGCTTTAAGTTGCATGTCAAGGTTTTCCAGAAATTGAACATGCAATTCCAGCTATCAAGCAGCCATCCTATCTCTCAATCATCAACACAACCGACCTCAACGTCAAACTACAAATCCAAAAACTTTAAGTTCTGGTTATCTAATCCTATAATTAGAAATCTAGTCAAACCCCACTCAACGGAAAAAACATAAAGGCTGATTAATTCAAATCTGACCTGCATTATATTGCCCCAAAAGTAGGAAAAAGGAAAGGAAGGGAAGAAAATTACCTCCCCATAGCTAGTATAGCACCACTGCAAAAGAGAACTTCTCAAATTTTCTTGGTCCCGAACCAGTCTTTCTAACTCTTGCTTCCTGCTCTCTTGTGCTTCTGGACTATATTCAAAATCACGAATCTAAATCACACGAGAGACAGAAACATAATGCATTAGAGATTCTAGACCAAGTCAACTATTAAAAACTCGAATATTTTCTATATCTATAAAGCACAAGATTCAGTTACTCCTAGAACCATTTGGGTAAAAGCTAGAGTAAGTCAAACTGGGTACTACTCACTTGGAACCCTTTTTCACGTGCATTTGTTCTAAAATTGTCTGCCACTCGCTTAAATACACGTGCATTTGTTCTAAAATTGTCTGCCACGCGCTTAAATAGTGTTACTGTGTAAAGAGCATATTCATTGTCTTCATATAACTTCTTGGAGGACCTGGGAACCTGAAAGACACGAGATGGATAGATCAAGCTGGAATTGAGAAGTGGCAAGAAAAATATAAGCATGGCATGCTTAAATCCATCAGTTCACATGAGCCTAAGTGAACAGGTCTCACAGGCAACAATCCATATCACTGTTAGAGATGATAGCCATCCAAACTGGAGCCACTGACTGAAGCATTTATATATAAAGAAACACATCTTACCACATAGTTAGTCAATGTTTCATAGCTTGCCAACCAGTCCTTCTGTGAATACTTGGGAACAATTGCGGGGAGGGTTATGAGGTGTTCAGAGATAATAATGTCCTCTGTTTTCACCAAATCCGAAAGATCACGAACAGCTAAGCTGAAACAGATAAAGGAGGGTCATGCCAGAAATAAGAGATGTATATGATAGATCAAAATTCAGGATATGAATACCTTCCACTCTGCTTCCGATTGATAGCATTGAGCTGACTGCGTACATTATTATACTCAGCAACACGAACCTAACAGAAAGGACAGGGCTTAAAAGTTCAAATTCCCAAATGAATATGCTAGTTATGAAATACCCAAGTTTTTCATCAAGTAATATTAAGGAACGCTAAAAAATACAACTAGGCTGGCAGTGTGTTGTACTTTTGTACAAGTCAATAAATGCATCTAACAGTGGCATATAATAGTAGCATAAAAAATGCAAGAGCATAAAACACATATGAAGGAGCTTAAAAGCCTTTGAGGTCTTTTCAACTAGGTTAGATATTGAAATTCAGCTCGTGACATGGTGATTTGCTAAATGTTATCTACCATAAGAAATGTGGTGTGTTTCTCCCGGTATTTCTCCTATGCTTACATAAAAAACAAATCAATTGACAATCAACTGTTCCGTTATCCAAAAAACAATAATCACCTTGAGGTCATCCTCAATCTTCACCACTTGACTATGGATACTATCCACAATCTCTTTCAGAGGAGACATCGTTGGGTATTTTGCTTCATCCCAAACAAACCTAAAATCCAAAATCCAAAACACAATCTAAGAAAATCTCTAATAACCCCAAAACACATATCCCTAATTCACATCAAAATTTCAATGGACTGCAAAACTAACCTGGTTAGGTAAGAGTCAACTGGCACACCATCAACTGTCAAAGCATTGCTCTCCACACCTGATAACCTCTCAAATTCCTCAATCTGTCTCCTGGTCTTGTGTGACACTCCTTCTATAAAGTTATTCGACTGCACATTCAATTCAATCAACCAAAAATCCCAAAAAACCAAAGCATGCGCTATCAAAACATTCAGCAGTAAAAGAAAATGAAAAGGAAAAGAAAAATCAAATCATTCATAGCAACCGTTCGATCCAAAAAAAAAAATTAAAGTAACATTAAAAATTCAAGCATTTAAATTATCAAAATGTGTAAAATTATGATTTCATCATCATCATCAAGTCAAACTGCTAAATTACAGAAATCTTGATTTCACATTTCCATAAATGTCCAAAAAATCCCAACATTTAAACTACCAGAGAGTTAAATTTCACATTTCCACAATGATTATCATTATAAAGTAGCATTAAAAATTCAAGCATATAAATTATCAAAATGTGTAAAATTATGATTTCATCATCATCATCAAGTCAAACTGCTAAATTACAGAAATCTTGATTTCACATTTCCATAAATGTCCAAAAAATCCCAACATTTAAACTACCAGAGAGTTAAATTTCACATTTCCACAATGATTATCATTAAATTGAGACACAAACAGACATCAATTGCATAAATCAGAAATATAGAGAATTAAAAAGAAAGAAAAAAGATTACCTTGACGAGATCATCACTAAGCGCAAGGAGTGAATCGAGGGTTCCAACACGAAGACTAGGGATATTAAACTGCGAAACGGAAAGGAAATAATAGAAAATTAAGGTTAAAGTAAACAGATCAGATGAAGAAGAAAGAGAGAAAGAAACCCTGTAGAGAGGTGTATCAAAAGAGTGCTTTGAGATTTGTTCTTGCAAACGGTTCCACACAGAAGAAGCTGAGTTTTCAACCGGAAGAGAAACTACCCAGTATCTACTCGTCATTTCCTTTTTGTTTTTTACTCAGATGTTTTCGATTTTGATTAGAGAGAGAAAGAGGGGTTTTGTTCGTAGGTAGAGAGAGAACAGAGGGAATGATCAGAGTTGCATTGATTTTCTTCTTCTTCTTCTTCTGTTTCAATTTCGGTGGAGCCTTCCTGGCGGTGGAAGGATGATTGCTAACCAGTAAAATTAGGCCATCTTTTACTTGATAAAATAATACATAAAAGATAAAAGTATTGTTACCATTTCGAACTTTGCCCCAGTTAATTAAAAAAGGATTATTGGGTAAACCTGTGTGCATTATTTTTAATTAAAATCATGTTATTTTAGTTTTTTTTTCTTTTTAACTTGGATGGGTTTTTATTGGGTCAAATGGATTACAAATCAACATACCAAATCACCCGAATTTAACCTCTCTCTTTTTTTATTAATCCGTCAAATTGGAACATGATTCTTCTTTTATTTATTTTAAAAGTATTGTTACCATTTCGAACTTTGCATGAGTTAATTAAAAAAGGATTACTGGGTAAACCTGCGTGCATTATTTTTAATTAAAATAATGTTATTTTAGTTTTTTTCTTCTTTTTAACTTGGATGGGTTTTTATTGGGTCAAATGGATTACAAATCAATATACCAAATCACCCGAATTTAACCTCTCTTTTTTTTATTAATCCATCAAATTAGAACATGATTGTTCTTTTATTTATTTAACCAGCAATTGAAGATTGTTGAATTATTTATTTAGCCTATTGGATCACACTAAGCTGTGTGTTTGATAAAACAAAATACATATTGTAAAGAAAGTCCAAGTTGCAAGGATTTTTTTAGTATTATTATTAAATACAACCCAATGAGTAGAGCTTCCACCCTTTATATCTTTCTCTTTTTTTATTTTAGGTTTTAAATTTAATTATATAAAAATTATCTTAATACATCTAATCGATTTTATGGGTTTAAAAACAATTTTAATAACATATAAAAACATAGTTTCACTTTAAAAAAAATGAGATGATATTTTTTTAATATTAAAATAATAATATATTGTATTGACCCAGATTTTATGATTAAACCGTTATATCAATGACTTGAGTCGTGGACTTCAATAAGTTTAATAATTTTATTTTTAAATTATTTTTTATTTAATTATATAATAAAAAATTAAACATTGGTAAAATCGAGTGCTAACTAAATACCAAAATATATTGTTTGGAATTTTGATAACCTTATAGAAAATAAATTATAAAAAATAGTTTAAAATTAATTAATTATTTAAAGTTAAGATTAAAAAAACAATAATAAAATTAAAAAAAATAAAATTGATTATTTTTCTTGTGAATGGTGCAAGCAAGAGATTTCACCTCAAATCTTTTAATGTTTAGTAATAATAACTAGTTTATAGGCACATTACTCCACATGTTAAATTGAAGGTTTTTTTTAATATAATAAAAAATATTTAAATTATTAAGAATTATTTAGTATTTTTATTAAATTTAATTAATTATATCAACCTTAAAATTTCCTGATACAATTTCTTACCTTACTTGTCACTTGAGTTTAAAATTAAATTATATAAGTATTGATCTAATATGAACTTGTTGATTTGATTAAAAATATCTTTTTCAATTAATAAAATAATATAAATTTTTTAAAAAATAATAATAAAAATAATATAAAAATAACTTTTTGTCTAATTTTTTGCTTAATCTAAATTTAAAAATAAATTGCATAGAAACTGTGTTGATATAACTTGATCAACTTTGTTAGTTTAAAAAATATTTGATTGACCAATAAAAATAATTAAACTAATAATAAAAACATATTCCCAACTCTTTAATTAGCCGGGATATGGAAAGATAGAAATAAATCATCAATTTCACATTTGAGGAGAGAATTAAAAATATATAATATAGTGTGTAAGATGATTTGATTATTGATGAAAAATATATAAATTTAAGCGAAGTGGGGAAACATGATTATAATAAATGAAGCCAGATTCGAATTAGAAAACAGTCAGAAAAAAACAATTAGTTGATTAAGGATCTGGCAAGGGTTGAGGGGGGAATTTACATTGATCAGTAATGTTTCTTTGTTCTTTGCAATATATATATTTCAAACTTATATAATAAACATAACCTAAATGACAGATAACTTGCTAGCCTGGTTAAAAAAATTAAAGAACTTAAGAGAGAGAGAAAAACAGAATTAGGGGGAAAAAATAAAATAAAATGGAACATCTGGCTATGCTAGAAGAGCATCCATTAAGCAAAGCAAGATGTTTTAACTATAATTAACCAAGATCAACGACCAAACTCTAGATCAATGGGAGAATTAATCATTTCCAAATATTAGATTTCTCACTGATTTCCGAACATTAATCATTCTTTCTTTCTTTCTTTTCAAAATCAGAATTGAAGAACAAAGCACAAATTGAATTCGAATTTTCTTTTGGGCTACTGAACAAGAAGGTTAGCCCTCCCCGAAGCTCGAGCTGCTTCCCTCTACTCCATCAGCAGTAACATTAATGGAGTTACATCCCCAGTCCTCCACTCTGTGCATCAGCAGTGACAGTAGGTATCCTATAGCGGCAAAGGGGGCAGATATCCCTCGTTTTGAACCACTGGCTAATGCAATCTCTGTGGTAAACATGAGAACAAGGCATCTGAGCAGCTTTGCCAAACTTCAACTCTTCCTTGCATACCACACATTCTCCATATGATTTAGACGTGATATTCCCTTCTTTTACTGCTTTCATCTTCAATCTTTCAGTACAAGCTCCGTCATAATGATTCCGATGTTTCAGACATTGCACTGCTTCCTCCATTGCCTTTAAATTCTCCTCGCACGCAATACGTTCATCGCAGACGTCTTCTCGATCTACAATAGCCTCAACATCAACCACAACATAAACAGCACTCCCATCTCTACCACCCCTTGTAATCAAGCGACGCTTTTCTGATACAATCGCCGCTAGTATCTCTTTATGTTTGGTTTTAGGGACTCCCATGTACGCCAAAGCCTCCGCCGATTTCTTACAAAGAAAACTATCTTCTTCATCAGAACAAGGAGCTTCAACAGTCCTACTCGTGCCCATCTTTCGGACTTCTGGAAGATATATCTTGTAATGCGAATCCGATCCGACACCGGGCGCTAGCATGTAACGGCGGAGAACATTCACAAGATTGAACTCAACTATTGCTGACGGCAGGTTATTGTTGTAGCCAAATTCGGTCGTCGTTCTCTGATAAGACAGAGAAACGATGCGTCTGCAGACTTGCAGCAGTTCTGGATGAAACTTACTTTTACTATCATCAACAAATTCCCCTCTCAGACAGAATTTGTAGCGAGTAGGAGTCGACATGGCGATCTGTGCTATACAAGAAAATAATAAGATTCTTGTTTTATGACTATTCCTAGCCTCTCTATAATTCTTAATTTATAGATAGATCCTGCCGCTGCTCGTGGCTGAACTACCCGTAACCAAAGCGGTTTGCTTAGCGGCAACTTTACGCGCTCGAATTAGTTTTCCCTCTGCTCTATTTTTTTATGGAATGTTTTCCCAACATAATTACTTGCTAATTATCGCACTTTCTTGTTTAGTCTTTTCTCCCTTCTGGTCTAGGATTTTTATTTTATTTTATTTTTTCCTTAATGATTTGATAATTAAAGCAAGTATTTTTTTCACGTATTAACTAATTAATTATAAAAACATTATTACTAGTCTTATAAATCCACTGGATCAATATAATGAATATATTCTTAAAACAACTTTAAAAAATCCTTGATTTTAATGAATATAGAAAAAAACAAATACCCTTTTAAGTGGAATCAAAATAAATAAATAAATAATATGCACATTCTGATTATATAGTTATAGATCCGTGATTGGTTACCTTAAAGAATAAAAAAAATAAAATTAACCCATAAAAAATATTCTCATCTAAGTTGATTTTTTTTTTCTTTTTTATTCCACTCTTCTCCGTATATTTATCTATTTTTTAGAAACAAGTATGAGTAGTCATCAAATTTCTCAAAATTAAAATACTAAAAAGCATGATTTATTCACAATAACCCAAAACACATATTATTTTAAATTAGAGCAGTGAAATAATCATTCTGTCTTTAACAAATAAAAACATTAAACGTATCATTAGAGGTAAAAAGGTATTGGATCCATTGATCATTAATTACCTTACCATAATTAATTATCAATGGATCCAATAAAATGATTTAATAACTTTTTTTAAAAAAAATTATAATAAAATTTTATAACAAAATTGATTGGAGGAAAATTTTATAATTAACTTGTGACACGTTTCACGAGACATCTATCTAGTCATGCCTAAATTGATGATGAACAATAAAACATTTACAAGGCTACAAAATTTAACTTCATGTTGTTGTTCTTCAGCAATAACTTACATATATTGATAATTCCAGAGAGAAAGCACATCAATCCAACAGAAGCAAAAATTGGACCTGTCATCTTCTAGACTGCCTACTCTTATTTATTAATTTTATGTACATATACAGGCAAAAGCACACTGATTTGTACAAGATTAAGTCACTCTTCATTTCAGGTAAAGCTCTGTTGTTAAACAAAATGCACTGCTATCTTTATAAGAAACCTAATAGAAGTCATCCAGAGACAAGTTCTCAACAGAACCGAAGCTCTCCAGATGCCCGATCCTTGAGAAATTAGTCATTGATCCACCCAAAAAATCAAGGGGCGAGACATTTGAGAAGGTAGTGGTATCGTAGATAAACGACAAGCCTGTATTGTCAACCACAGGATAATTCACATAAAAGGAGCTGAATTTGTTAACTTCACAATCAAGAAGAACAGTGTCATTGACTGCATTTCTAGCTATATCAGTATATACATTTTGATCCGAGGCCTTTTTAGCTTGGATGACCTGAGAAAACATCAAGAACATGCAGCTATTAGCATTTAAGAATTGGTAAGATACTTTCTAATGGAAAACCTCACCAGCAATCTATAGGTTTAGAATAGCAGCATACATAATTCTGACTTTGACTGTCTTGGTATACCATAATAAAGTCTCCAAGCTGTAATCCATGAGCGTGAACAAAGTCCCCTGCGAATATCCGATACAAGTTTGGTGATTTGTATTCATATATTGTTTATGGAAGCAAAAATTGGAAGGAGAACTTTACAAGGTAATCGAGGGTTTTACCGGTGTTTTCGAGTACATACATTCGGCTATTGTTATTAGGCCAGTACCTGCTTACGAAAATAAAGAAAAATTTACAAGATCAGCAGCTGTATATTGATGAAGTTCCTATTTGAAGCTGCATGCAACCAACCAATTCCACCTTCAATCGGAATTGATGACTTTTGGCAGTCTTGCAGATTTAAATTCGAAAACTTTCCGAAGTAATTAAATGTGCCGTGTAAAGGTTAATCCTAACGATAATATTATTCCGTTTCCCTTGATGTACACCATTCGTTATTGATATGTAATTTCTGCCATCAAAAGGGAAGGGGAGCTTGCACCTGTACTTGAAGCTCCAAACATGGAGACCGTCCAAGTCATCCATGTTGATAAATATCCCTTCCTTGGACTCCAGAAAAGGGAGGTGTGCCTCAGCTGCTTTCTGAATTATTGAGCCATCAAAATACATGTGAAGTTCAATTAGGAAAAGAAGTTTGAGATTAAATTGTTGCAACATGAAGATGCATTGACAAGGAAACGACGTTGTTCAAAATATACGAATCTCAACAAAAGAGAAATACAAAATACAGTATTAATTAGACCTTTGGGAGTATCATTCTCCTCAGAGAGCTTACATCACTGTTCTTAAGTTCCTTTTGGAAAAGGAATCTAAGTCTCCTTGGATCAATGACCTATGGCATAAGATCATTTGGAGTCGTTGATCAACTAATAATCTCGAAAAACTCATCAAATCATGAATTAAGAGGCAACTTATAAGTGATACAATGTGTTCAACTTTTCTAATCAATATCAAGCATATAGCAACAATGATTTGTCCAATATGTGACGAGCTCAAACCAAAGCACGAACAATAAAGGAAAGACATGCGTGACTGTGTCTTGCAAATCAGAAAAGAAAAAAAATGCAAATTAAAATTGGAAGCTGGTGGAAAAAGATTTCAATTTCCAAATTTCGATTGAATTTCTCAGATAACAAACCGCAGACAAACAGTTAACCTGCAAGGTATTCTACCGCATAAGACCATGAAAGTTACTATACATGCTGCATTGAATTGAGCCAATGAAGAACATAATCATTAAATTCTATGTGTTCTGGACTAAGTGAAACAGATCAGTTCTGAGAGTTCAGTCAAAGCTGTCCGATGCAAAATCCCCCAAATCATGGCATTTGCTCTGCTTCTGAAGTAGATACATAAAGCAGCTCTTCGAAGTTAATTGGTTACATGCCAGTCAAAGGTTTTCAATGCTCTGCATGAACTCATGTCTTTGAGGAACAATTAAATGGGATGCATAAATACTCTTACTGAACAATTGATCTTTCCCTTTCAACAAAGAAAATCTTACCTAATTGTTCTAGCTAGATTACAGTCAAACAAAATGAGTCCAAAAAAAAATATTTAAAATTTAATTAAATTACTAAAAGAAGAGAAACTTACCACCAGCAAAATCTTACCTCTCAGATTACCTTGAGCAAGACAACATCAAGTTGTCGAAATAAGCAGAAGTAGCTAGTAAGGAAATCCAAGACAATTAATGATATAATGACATAATAATTAAAGCTACACATGAAAAGGAAAAGTTTCTCACACGTGCGGGGAGGGAAGAAGGGTCTTGAAGAGGAAGAGAGAAGGCAGGCACGTGCAAGTGAGTGGTGGCAGAGCAGGAAGCATTAGCAGCAAAAGAGAGAAGGTGATTGATAGTAGATGATGATCTCCTCTGCCTGGGCATCCTTTTCTTCCTTTTAATCTCAAAACCCACCATAGAACCAACAAGGTGGTCACGGGTCGACCCGCGTATAACAAGATCTGAACCCCCTTCAATATTGGGACTCTGCATATCGTCCCCCTCCACATTGACACCTGCTCCACCTGCCATCAGAGAACAGGCCTCGGTTTTCTCATGAACCACATCATGGTGCATCATCGTTAGCTACTAAGGGTTTCTACTTTTCTTGATAAAAAAGCAAAGAGTGCTAGTAGCCACTGATTAGTAAGTGCGCGCTTGCTTGCTTTAGATAGATATCAGTGAGAGAGACTGGCTGTCTCTCCCTGTGTGGCTTGGCAGATCGAGACTACCGGTGATCGACGCTCGGCAATCACGAAATGGGGGGTTTTCTTGACTTTCTTGTATGCTGTGAGTGGTCAAAGGGATCATCCAGAAAACAGTAAAGCTGGTTCTGTTTCTATTTTTAGCAAAAAGGGTTCTTATAATGATTTCACTGCCTGGTTTTTATGCCATTTGTGTTTCTTTCATTGATGCTTCCTCTCATATCTTTTGCTCCCATCACCCATCTTTAGTATTTTTAATCTCCAACACATTGCAACAATAATTACAAGTGGCACGGGGTTGGCAGGTGAGATTGGCTGCAGAACAAGGTAGAGTTAGGGTTTAGTCTTTACATTGAGGTGGTTATGGCGAAAAATGTGCAATGTGGATTCATGGCCAGTTTTTAGGGATCTTATAGTGTTACACTGTCTATCAATACAATGGTCTTGTACACTTGTTGAAGATGTATAGCTAACTAGGGTTAGGATACTTTGGTTGGAAGCTAGCTAGTTAGGGTTAACATTGAGAAAAGAGAGAGTAGTGGAGTATGGAGGGTGGAGGGTGGAAAAGAATAAAAACTGGATGAAGAGGGGGCGTGGGTGGTGGTGGTGCCGGCGGCGGCAAACGAATGGAGGGCGGAGAGCGAACAGGTGTTGCAAAAGTTCTGATTACTGTGTTGAGAAATCAATGGTGTTTTTGGGATTCATTGGGCTCCGTCTTTCTATGTACCAAAAAAACAACACTCTCCTCTCTAGTGGTTTTCATGAGTTTGAATAGAGCAATAGGAACTAACACCGTCATAGGTGTCCTGGCTTGATTGCGCGCCAATTCCAGGGTTTTTTTTTACTTTTTGGAGCTAGTGGGTTTATATATATATATATATATATATATATATGTCTGTGAGTGCTGTATACTCGTACGTACCAGAAACCACGTACGGTGTGGGTATATTTATTTGCTTTTAATGACTTTTTAGTAATTAAATTCCTTTTGAAATTTATAGCAGCACCGTTAAGACTTAAGAGCATTCAAAGCCAGGAGAATGTTTGTTATTGTTATTAAAAATTTTGTTTTAATTTTTATATTATTTTACCAGGAGAATGTTTGTTATTGTTATTAAAATTTTTGTTTTAATTTTTGTTTTAATTTTTATATTATTTTACTGTGCTAATATTAAAAATATTTTTTAAATAAAAAATATTATTTTAATATATTTTTAAATAAAAAACACTTAAAAAATAAAAGTAACTTTTACCACTCAAACAGCTTCTAAACTCAATTTTAAGAGTTCTAAACAAATCGCAGCTCTCATGAACAATTTAATGATATATTTAGAAATATGGTGTATTTTTAAAAATTTTAAATTTTATTTTTTATTTAAAATAAAAAAATTTATATTTTTAAATTATTTTGATGTGCTAATATTAAAAATAATTTTTAAAAAATAAAAAAATTATTTTAATATATTTTTAAATAAAAAACATTTTAAATCATCATTTCTACTATAATTCCATATTCCCTAAATAATACAAAAAAGCTTATATAAAACATGAAAAAATATTAAAAAATTTAAATTAAATAAAAAATTTAAACGAACAAAAAAAATATAACAAATTCCAAACATTAATTATTTGATCTAATCCGAGCGCTTTAATAATATTAAATGGTTATAAAAAATTAACAATATAGAAAACAAGAATTCTACGATTTCTTAAAAGAAAATGAGTCCACTCCGACGAAAGATTGTACCCGAAACTTTAAGGCTACACGTTTAATCAGAATCTGCTGTGATCTGTGAGATTTGATCAAATTAAATGCCAAATCTAATGAGATCATAGCTTGCACTGGCAATTATATCGTCCTTTTAATTTGAAAGTCAACATCTCCATTCTCTCCTTTTTAAAAAAAAAAAGAAAAAAGAAAAAAACAGATTTTATTATTTCCAATTCCACATCCAGCCTGTTTAAATTCTGTAGTTTCTATTCACCTAGATGGTGATTAAATGATACAAATTTAAGATTAAAAAAAAAATTTATATAATTTTAAGTTTAAGTTTTTAATTATTTATATGATTATTAATTTTAAAACTTATAAAATTAATTGTGATATGTTTAAACTGATCCAAATATTTATATTAATTAAAAAAAATATTATAATTTTTACATGTGATTTTCTAAAAACTTTTTGGCAGGTTCTTCAGTTTTTTAGGCTATGATATTTTCAAAAACAAATTAAATTTACTTGTGCTAGTGCTCTATTAAATTGATCGGTCCCATGTAATAATAATAAAAAATTAATCTTTTAATAGGAACAAAATATTCAATAAATCAACTACAATATACTTAGTAGTTTTCTCTTATAAAATGTTTTTTTTGTAATATAGATATATGATATTTTTTAAAAGTGTTTTTTAATTAAAAACTTATTAAAATATTTTGTTAGAATCTTTTTATTTTTAATATTAACATATCAAAACTATAAAAAATATTTTAAAAATATCACTATAATAATTTTTAAATAAAAAATATTTAAAAAACTAAAGAAAGGTTTGCATTTTAATACTATATAATTATATAACAGGAAAAAACATGCGGGACTAAAATTATGTGTTCAAATTAAGCTCATTTAGTTGCATTTTGAATACATTCAAAACAAATTCAATAAATGCAAGGAATACAATCACATTGCGCATTCCTTCATGTTATTAAAAAGTGTTTTGAAATACAGTAATGATTATAATTTAAAATATTTTTTAATTATAAATATATTTTTATTTAAAAAATTATTTTTGATATTTTTATAAACATCTAAAAAATTAATTTGAAACAAAAAGAAAAATAAAAAAAATATTTTTTTAAAAAAATATTTTTAAAACGAAAAAAACAAATAGGCCTAACATATAATAATAACTCTATCATATTTTCTTTGATAAATTTAAATTTAACAAGTATAAATTTTTTTAAAAAATATTAAAAATCTTTCCTATAAACATGTAAGATTTAGCAGCTATTTAGACCCTTGTCGCGCATATTGCCCGACAAAGAAAAACAAGCTCAAGCTAGGATGTTGGGCACCAAGCCAGCACTCCAGTATATTTGAGCCTATTTATTTTTTTATTAGGCTTAGACAACTCGTTTGAAATTAATATTTTTTTTGAAATTTTTTTATAATCCTATGAAAATTTTTCAATAATTTTTTAGGACTCCACATAAATTTTTTAAATTTTATATTAATTTAATATATATTATTTTAAATAGAATATAACTCAAAATATTATAAAAATAAAAATTACACTTCAGGTTTTTTTCTAAAAAAACAAAACTTATAAGATATAAATATCCCATGAATTCTTAAAATTCAAGATTTAAAATTTTTTTATTATTAATATTTTTAGTATATATATTTTTATAATATATCTCTCGAAAATATTATTATACTTTCTTTTTATATAAAATTATGAACTTAAATATCTAAGAATTTCTATATTCACCAAATGAGAAATTTTTTTATCCCAGCTTACCAGAAACCTACGACTTGACACTAGCCACTTTAACTTCAAAAATAAATAAAATTACAAGACCCGGCAGTTATCGTGTAGAAGTGAGAAGATAAAAAAAAATAAAATAAAAATAGAAATGCATACTCCACGTTGTATTTAAGTGTCGAGAATGGTGTTGAATTTGATTGATATTTTCATTACTCAGTTTTGTAATAAATTTATATTAACATTAAAAGTAAAACAATAGCTTATATTTTTTAATTATTTTTTAAAATTTTAATTTTTTTAGTTAAATAAACTAAAACATAAATAATTTTTTTTAAATGATGTAAGTGCATTGAAGTTAACCGATGGCTAAGAATGATATTATATAAATTATAAACATATAAATATATCTTTAAAACTCGACCCTATCCACTAATTCACTGGTACAAAACCTACTGTGGTCAAGTTCTTGAATTGAATTTTTTTATTGACTAAAACAACTTTGCATCATTTAAAGAAAAATCAAACCTATTAAAAAAACAAAAACAAAATATTATTTTAATAAAAAAAAAGATAGATTGACCTTACCAACCCATGTCATGGACTCCATTAAATATGTTTTTTTTTTATTTATAAAGAAACTCAATTATGCTTTGTGCGACGGTGCATGGATGAATAGGATTATAAACAGTAAAATAAAGCATCAATTATGCATTATGCAAGGGCACTTTGCGTCTTTTCTTTTAGAGAATCGAAATAGCTTCCATTAAAAGAAAAATCCTTTCGTACATAAGGCATAACAAAACTGAGGGCATCTTCCTTGCAGCTTGCACCCATATATATGTTGTGTGTGGTCCCACATCATGTGATGGTGCGACCACCACATTAAATGTCATGTAATGACTGTCTCTTGGTCTCCTGGTGTTAAAAATGATTTGTTTCGGGTACTGTAGCGGTAGATTGAAAATAGAAGAGAGGAGAAGAAAATCAAGAGAGAAAAGGAGAAGAAGAGACAGCAGAGCAACATGTGTTCTTCCTTTGATTTCCAACTCGTTCACCGTTGGATCGGGCTGAGATTTTGACAGCAGCTTCTAGACACGTAACTCTTCATTCTGAACGGTCAAATTGAAGATTGGTGGTGTGTAAACTGACCGTTTTGACAGAAAACGGGGTTGTCAGTATGGTGAGTTTTTCTCAAATAGTTCTCCTTTAATCTTGTTGTAATTGTATCCCTTAGTTGAATCTAAGGAAGAATGATTGTGAACCAATTATTTGTTGATAGTGGAAGTTTTTAAGTGGACTACGGTCCCGTGATTTTTCTCGCATCGGGTTTTCCACGTTAAAATATTGGTTTTAATTTTGTGATTATTTACATTATATTTGATCATTATTTGATTTTGTTTTACTGCACAAAAAGAAAAAGAATTGGAACTTGTGAATTATATTTCACTAAATTGAATTATATTTGGTCATTGTTTGATTCTGTTTTACTGCACAAAGAGAAAAGGAATTGGGATTTGTGAATTGTATTCCGCTAAATTAATCCGGGTAAATTGGTGTCCGATTGTTCCTAGTTTTCCCAACAATATATTCTTCGAGGGATTCAAGGATTAACTATTTTCCCAAGTGAATGAGCTACTGCATTGATTCCATTTCTCTTCACATGTGATTTCTTTGTTTTTCTAAGAAAATTATATATATATGATTAAGTCAATTTAGATATGTACTTTTATTTTTCTATAGTGATGTTAAATCTCTTATAAAGTGGAATTAATAATTGATATAATACAAAATAAAAAATGATCCACTTTCTATTTCATTCTCAAATGCATGTAAGAAAATGGAAACAATTTGTTAGAAAGACTAATTAATGACAAGAAATAAATTAGCTAGAACTAATTAATTTGCATTATCGAATAAACGATGTTCCTCCAGCTTCCCATCTTCCCTGAGATAAAATGCGCCCTCATCTTTTAGGCTCCAACTGCAAATATCGGTGCATCCTAACTTCGTAGCAAATGCCCAGAAGACTCCATGATATCTATCATTAAGCTGGGCATAACACCATACTAATGGGAACATAATATCAACGACTTCGAATGCTATGCTTTCCTTAGGTCTTAACGCGTGCA